TTCAAATGACAGGCTTTATGATATTTATCAGGGGTGTGCGATAGACTTACCTCCACGTGGTGCACCCTGGGCAACGTATTCTCATACGGCAAAAAAGTCTATTAACTGGCAGTTGACTTCTCACTTCAAACTACCATCGCCTCACTCTATGCCATATTCGGCTACTTGAACAGTACTCACCTCACCTTTTTCTACCTTTGTGTTTGTCTCTTACATCTTTGAAACACTCCTCTGTTCACTCCCTCCTCTCGACATTTTTTCAATTTGATGTACCTTCCCCTCTGTGAAGCCTGAAGTCAACTAAAGGGCTAATGATAACCATCAAGACGCCTGGCATTTGATATAAATAAATGATATTTATCAGTAGCCCCCTAGTTGACTTCAGTTTTCCCCATGGGTAGGAGTGGGGGGGGGATACAATTCGAATAGTAGAGTGGACCCAATTATAGGCAAAATCAAGGGGGGGGGTTGGCATAAATAAAATACACAACAAACAATAAAAAAGTGTACAAAATGTTATTATAAAATGTATGTAAATTGAATAATGCCTCAGTTATTCATTCGACTAAATGACTAATACCGTGGTAGGATAGAAAAAAGAGAAAGTTTTAAGATCATGAACTAAAATATCCCATATTTAAAATATCCCTTTTCCAGAAAAGTATGAATATACCAACGAAAAATAATCGAATGAAGAAAAGGGAAAAACTAAATGTTACTACGTGGAAATTCATTTAAGCAATAGCACGAATACTCATGAAAATAAATCGCTAAACATTTTCAATATCCGACCTCATGGAGAGATTGATGTTTGGAACATCATTTAATCGATTTGTGGGGTTTGTTTGGCCCTAATAATAGCTGATGAATAAGTAAGGTTAAATTAGCTATTTCATATCGACCTAATCGATTTCTCAAATTAAGTGGATTCAGATGAGTAGCTTAAAGTTGGCCTTAATTACAAAGAACCCCCCCCCCTCCCCCACCAATTTTAATTAAGTTTGACAAAACTTGTTTCTCTGCTTGATTTTGGAATCGTAATGGCACAAGGACGTAATTATAGAATAACCCTAGTAAATACATAGTCACATTAATATGTCACGCTGATCTATTGATTAACATGCAAAGTATGCGTAGAAGAAGTTGACTTGCCTTTTCAAGCGATGCCAGTGCGCAAAGTCCACTTTCGTACGCGGGTGATGAACGAGGAGTGTAGTGAATAACAGCTGCCACCAGTAATCTCAATCGCATCACTCGTTGCATAGGCAGAACTAAGAAGGAATTCAAATCTAGCCCCATACATTGTGGCATGCTTTGAATCTGTAGTACGGCCTCCTTGAAGGCTGGTCGATTCCTGCAAGAAAGATGAAAATCAGCTTGGAAGTATTATATTCAGGCCCCGAGGTGCGCGATAGACTTTCTTCCATGTGGTCCACCCTGGGCAACATACGGCAACTCATACGGCATAAAAGTCTATAAACCGACAGTCGACTTCCAATTTCAAACTACCATGGCTCGACAGCATGTTATATTCCATTTCTTCCACAGTACTCACCTTACCTTTTTCTCTAGCTTTGTGTCTGTTTCTTTAACATCTGTGAAGCCCTCTTCTGCTCCCTCTCCCCATACGACTGTTTGTGACTTTGATGTTCTTCACCTTTGTGAAGTCCGAAATCAACTAAAGGGATGCTGACAACTGTCATAAAGCCTGCCATTCGATATAAATAAAAAAAAATAAATAATCAGACCCCCATTGCATTGTAACATTCCTTATGTGTATCAGGAACTTTTCGATCTAAGGGTGACTTATTAATCTCTATTTCTATTAACCAATTTTATAAATATTTTTAAAATGATTTTGTAAGTCCCAGTTACCTGCTCGTGTGTGTGTGTGTGTGTGTGTGTGTGCGTGCGTAATATGACCCAAATAAACCTGTGTTGAGGATGCATGTTAGCCCTCAATTTATACTACGAATTAGTATGAGGATTTGTTTTAAATATAGAAATAACAACAGTGCGACCATATTGTCAAGAAAATTAATCTTCTTTTAGATGCAATATTTATAATTTAGCACATTAAAATCGTGTCAACTCACAAGAGTTTACTCAAAGTGCGAGTTTGATACATTTGATTTTTTACATAAGTGACGTAGTAGGAGAGCTTTGTTTCCGAGTGTTCGTACAAAATATCGCAGATATTCTTTATCATGGGGTCTTGACGGAAACTGGTTTCTAACGAATGAAGCAAGCTGAAACGAAGGCATTTCATCATAAGGCTCCGTTAAAGCCAACGAAATATCTACTGTAGACATGGATGAACTTACTTCTCGCTGGTAATGTGAATATTAAGAATATTTGAGAAGAGCTGATGCTTGTCAAATTCAGTGATAACAGAGTTGGGTGAAGTGGGGTTGAAAACGGGAGCTTTGTAGAAGAGATCGATCAGAACAGTCAAACTCTTGAAGTATGATGCTTCTGAAGTGATGATCTCAAATCGAGCCTATAATTTCGGGAAAGTTCAATCGCACAACTAGAACTCTAACTGATAATGCATTAATAATTTCCAGATTTTCACAGATATGCGATTAAGCAACTAAATTATTGATGGGCAATGACTACCATTTGAATTTCGTATTCAAAGTGGCATATACATTGAAGCGTGTTATAAGAACACATTCGCTTTTGAGGTACGATCATATTAGATGGTCATATTGGTTACCTACTGATCCCATCTTAATCCTTTTATCGCTTCCATCTAATATTCAATCTATCACGAATAGAGTTTCAATTTTATTATGAGAGTGATTCTTTTACCTCCCTTTATACTGCGCATTAAGCTGTAGCAGTAATCTGACTCCAGACTATTTGAATGTTCTGGAGATAGATCTCCCGCCCCTCTTTCCTTCTGTTTTTCTTAATAAACCCACCCCGATATTCCAATTGTCTGCCATAATCCTGTACCAATGCCGATCATTGACAATAGGAGTCTTTTCTGCAATTCCTTTCAACAGACAGAATGGGAACAGCTGGTTGGTCTAGAAAAAGTAACGAGGTTACCAATTGGGGATTCCGACTTTGCACAACCTCTCAGTAGCTGTCCAACCTGCAAGACATCTAAAACTTCCTTTTCTAACATGTATCTGACTATTTCGAAGTTTTCCGGAATAGAACTGTAGCATTAATTAAATTGCATCACATTCTTAAAGTTGGATATAATAAATGCTTCAACCAAAAATTATAAGTTTATTACTGAGACGCTTCTTACTACTGATTGAAGAACCATAAAAATGACTTGACAATAACGAAGATAAAATCATTACCTCTTGAAGACTTCGTTGCTCCTTCGTGAGACCTTCAGCCAGATTTAAACGTTGGACCTCTGCCATATCCGCCCAACGAACTCTGGCTGGTCCAGTCCCCGAAAATTCATTAGCCACACTATTCATCTCACCAACCTTCGCAGTCCTCTCAACATTCGACTTCCTAGGAGGAAGGTCCTTATGAATTACAGTGAAGTTGGAGGTCTTAGGTGTTCCTGCATTCTCATCGTCACTGGAACTCGAGGATGTGGACGACTGGTCATCTGGACCAAATTTCGGCGGGGCGACGATGGCTTTTGGCTCCCCTAAGGGTCGATGTTCACCCTTCTTCTTGCGTAATGAACGTATAGATTCTTTGAAGGAAAATAATTAAAGTGTCAATGTAAGATACATTTTCTTCAAATTATTCAACTATAATACTTAAGACCCTTAATGCTACTGGGAGCATGTGCGAAATTAAACTTGATACTGGCTCAATTTCACGCAAACACATGACCTATATTGGTATGAGCAGCCAAAATTAAGGGGTAATAGCAAAAGTATTGAGGTGAATCACATGAGTGTGAGGTTTAGGAAAAGAATCAATTGAAATGGCCTCAGAGAATGCATTGTTTACTGGAAAGAGATTAAGAATAAGATTCTAGGAAATTTAAAAGGCGGCAATTTTTAGACATTGGGTAAAAATAATTAGCCCAAATTCTATTCGGTAAAGTAGATTTTTGCTAAAGGAGACACGAGAGAACAAAAGAGTAGAGGAATGAAACTTATTGCAGTTGGTTTCATATGGTAGAATAAATTCGTCATTGCCTTTACCCACTCTGCTATAACCAGCACGACGAAATCGAAAGAGAACAGACTAGCTGGCAGGAGACTTAAAATAGAAATTGGTGAGGCTGAGAAGCTGACAGAATTTTCTAACCATCAAGTCAAAATTGTGATTGGATAGCAGAATAAAGCTGCAACTTTGGCGTTAGAAGTAGTGAGAAAATCGATTAATCACTAAATGGTTAAATGATGAGTCATTCATGAAGCAAAATGAAGATGGATAAATTGGTGGAAGTGTAACTCATGCGTCAGCAGCTACTACGATCACTACAGAGTCACATGGAAAAGCTATAGAGAATAGGAAAGATGTTTAATAATAATAATAGTTCTCCTGAATATATATTCGTCCTAATTTTCCGTTCAACATCAAGCTTACGACACATGCAGGTAGTTGATTAGAGGGAAAAAAACATTCATCAAAGATCTTCTAGAAACTTAAAAATAATAGATGAAACATGAAACTTCTGAGATAAAGAAAGTACCATCTGTAAGTTAGAGCACTAGACTAGTTTACAGTATACAAAATTAGGTTAGGCCAGATCAAAATTGGCATGCTGTATGTGATAAATCAAGAATTATTAAAAGACGCGTACTTTCAAAAACAAAAGTCTACGTGGATGAGAAGATGATAATATTGTAAAAAAATTGGAAGGAATAATGGAAGGAACGCTTTATTTTCCTTCATCCACAGCCTCTCTAGCTACATCAATTCCTCAAAACCACAAATACAAAGCGCGATAAGGGTTGCTTCAATTACTACACGGCTTACCTCGAAGTCTATGCCTGAACCGTTTTGATTCCTTGCGTTTGAAGTACTCATCGTAGATCTGATAGAGAGGAGCGTTCCCGAATATAGTGGTGAAAGATTCACGAGTTTCGTGTCTTCTTTCTGCATCCTTTTGATTGAAAGGAGGAAACATGTCACATAATTATTATTACTGATAAAGCAATCGGAGAAATCGGTTTGTGGAATCATGGTGAATAGATGGTAAAATGGAAATTTTCCGATACAAGTATGGCAGAAGTATACTTTCAGACCAATTGAAATCTGTATTCTGAAAATATTTTGTTGATAAAAAATAAATCTCACAATCTATACTGATTGTTTGAAGTGGAAAAAAATCTTCGAATTCAACTGTGGTGGCTAGCGCTTAAGAAAATGTGCACGTGAACTTTGTGGTGGTTTCCAATCCATTCGAATAAATATCTATCCATTATTCGAAAGTATTTTCTACCAATGGAAGAGAATTGTGGAGAGATAGAAGAATTCAGTAAACAAAACCGGGACAAAGTTGATATTGTATTAAAATTCGGCATTCCAAAAGTTTCCATTATCTGGCCACAGGCATATAAATAGTACCATTTGCGAATATTGATCAGATAATGATATCTGATTACAGAACGTAGGTAAATAAAGTCCGCTCATCATATTGTCGAATGTTCCCTTAAGGGTTATACGCACTTCAATTCCCTTGTCTATACTTTTAATCAATCCTACGAGATCTGTGCTTGGTCCCAGTTTTATTTGAAATCCAAAGATATTACTACACTTTTATCAATCAAATAGTATTTAATTTATCATCTTCTTCTAAGTTTAACTACCAGAACATATTTATCA